TATTGATCGAACAAAGACGCACGCTGCATACGCCCCCTTGCAAGCATCCACAAATACATGTAGTTCAGACGTGTCATTGATAAACAAGTATCGAGGCAAAGTAACATCTTTCAAAACATTAAGTTCTTTAAACCAGTTCAAAATATATTTACATCATTCGGAGACAATTCATCATCCCATGCAATTTTCACTTTCCACAATTTTTGCAACAACAACAGTTTGGAAGCAATGTAGTTGGCGTTAATAAACCAATAGGATCAAAAATTGTCTGCACAATTGCCAAAATTGTCCTCTTTGTGATTTCATTTGTATTTCGTATCACAGGTCAATGTATCTGTATCTGTGCAGCACCTCAGCGTATCATTATCCAAATTCCAAATTACCCCCAAAACGGAAGTATCCCTGAATGTTTGTCAACATTTGTACCAGCCACATTGCTTTCAAAACCGCGCAAGTTAAAACATCCATTTGACATGATTAATTTGGAATGTTCAATAAACGTAAACTGTTCATCAATACTAAAAAACACTAGATAAACAATTATCCACATAAAATGACGATTTCAATTTTTGAGCAACTTCACTATATTGACGTGGACAGTTTTCTAATAGATGCATTATAGATGCGTTCAACAAGTAGGGGCTCGAAGAAACTCCAAACACAACTCTGCAATGCCTATAAATTAATTGCCCTTCATTGCATGGGAAAAAAAATCTGAGAAAATCTCTATCTTTAGATGCGACGGATAACATTAAAAAAGCTTTTTCAATATCGGCACTAATACCTATCGGATACATTCTAAAACGATCTATAATATCAGGTATTAATTCAATAAGATTTATTCCTTTACACAAACATTCGTTCAAAGAGAGTTTCCCTTTCTCAGATGCAGAAGCGTCAAAAACAGGACGAATTTTCGTGGTTTCACTTCCTAATTTGATTACAGGCCTATGCGGCAAATAATGACATTCATTATTCAGTTCGTTTTCTGGTACGCGTTCAATAATATTCAACCTTTCCCATTCCTTGAACACATTTTGATAATCATCGAAAAATTTACTACATCTGAGTTTATAGATCATCTTTTGATACCTTTTCCAGGATAATTCTTTATTATCGGTTAAATGTGTCGTATCACATTTCCACGGAAGTTCTACTTCATATCTTCCATCTGGAAGAATTTTCATTTTATTCTCAAATTCAGATAAATTAAAACTTTCATTCATTTTAACAGTTTCGTTTGGAGCGCATATTCCTATTTTTTCAAGTTCCCATAACTCATTCAGAGGAATTCTCCTGACATGCATTGAAAATGTTTTCAAAATATTATCCTTTTCACCCGAATTTCGTTTTCCAAATACCGTCCACCCAGTTTCTACAGCCGTTACTCCCGACTGTAATTCAATAGAATTTTCCATCAATAATTTTCCTATAACATCTGCTCCGATTAAAAGGTTAATTTCAGTTTCCTTTCCCAATGGATCAGAAAATTCTGATTTCTTTTTCTTTTAATTCATTCAAAATCTCTTTATCCTTAACCTTAGGAATAAAACCCCAAATTCTTTTTTCAGAAAGTACTTCAAAACTACATGCGAACCTTCCTTTTAAATTGCTGACCTCAACCAAAAACACTTCATGTTGTTTAGGTTTCGTTTTGTCCCCCCCCCAAACATTGCATGTATAACTAACTGTCTCCTGAATAAGAGGAGACGCTTTAAGCTGACTCATCATACTTTCACTAATGTAGCTACTTTGGCTTCGAATTTTCTCGCGACCCTGACACCGAACTGGAACACACAGTGTTTGTAAAAATACAGTTTCGCTTCTGCCACAGTTAGAAAGAGATCTTTCTTTTGAAACACTTATCTGATCATTAATTTTTAGCGTTTGATTACACATTACATTAAAATTATTATAACTTTTGCAAATAGAACAACTTAACTTACCTTTCAAAGGACAAAATTTACTAATGTGACTCGCTCTTTTCAGACAAGAGAAACAAGCACCTTTTTTCAATAACAATTGTTGTTTTCAGCTAAAGTCATTTTTTTTTTTTTGCAGAGTAACATTTTTCACTAAAATGTTTCTTTTCACAAAAATTACAGTTCGGAACACTCTTACCTGAATTCTCAAGACTTACTAGAGCTGATGCTGTTACGGGTTCATTTTGCTTTACCTGTTCGTGGTTAAAGTCTTTCTTCCGATGGTTCTGTTGGGAAGCGAAACCAGTTCTTGCGAGTAGAACCATCTCTTCCCCCTTAACTTCCTGTTTTAAGAAATTCATTAAATGTTGCAAGGATCGAGTCCCTTTAGTTTCAATGGAGTCGTGATTTCTGCTTCTTTCCCATGCCATCAGTACTTCTTCTGATCCACGCCATCAGTACTTCTTCTAAGCAACTTTCCACTAAGGGGGTCAAAAAATCCCCATATTTTTCTTGGGTTCTCCCCAAACTTTCCAACGCTCGCAATTTTCCTTCTAGTTCATCATACAGGGAGGGTAGATCAGTTTTTGCTCTTCCGGTTACAGCGTTCTTCATCACTAGGCTTAACAAGTCTCTCACATAGATTTGCACAAGTAAATCTTCGCGTCCAAAGCGCTCTCTTAGTTGTTCGATGGCTTTAGGATAATTAGCTGCCGTTGCCGGGAAGCTAAGAACTAGGCGTTCTGCCTTCGATTTGGGTTCCATGGCCTGCAACAGATACTGCATTTTATCTTCATCAGCGATACTTTTGTCGTCGTGGATTTTCTGGAACTGACTCCAAAAAGTCAGGTAATCTTTAGCTTCACCACTGAATTTTTTAAGCTCAATTTTAGGCAATTTAAATTTCCTAGATTCGGAATTATTTGGAAGAGAGGAGGCTTGTATTTCCGCATCTATTTGAGCACACTGTTCTAGAAACTTATCTCGGTAATCCTCCGCTTCTTGAAAATCATCACTAAATAATTTTTCTCCATCTTCAGTCTGCAAAATCTGCTGCGATATAGCACTCTGGCATACGTCAAGTCTCTGGAATTTATCACAAAGTTGACACTTCAAAATCGAAAGTATTTTTAAATCTCTTACTTCTTTAGTTAATTCACTTTCGGTTTTCCTTGAGGTTTGAGAAAAAGCAATTCTAAGTCCTCTTCTTTGGGCCTTTAAAGCGATCAAATCCATCTTCAAAGTATATTCAAAATCGAAGTTCAAAATCAAAAGTTCAATTGGAAAATTCTAATTCATAGCACCCAGTCCCGCCGAGGGTACCACTATGTTGCGAACACAGAAAATATATAAATCGAATATATTCAAAACAGTTCATTCAGTTGTGGGCTGCCTTTACCCGAGGCTGGGAGCATTTTGAATAAAGACAAAAAATTCTTAATAAGCCTTTCTTTGTTTTCATCAAAAACAGTCTTTCTCTTCCGAGATCAGCTTTCGTTCTGTCTACATGCAAAACATTCAAAACACTCAGCACGCAGGCTGACGTCACGAACAGCAGCGCCTCCCACCAGTTATTACTTCAAATCATTTCACAACATCTAACATTGTGTGTTTTGCACATGTACTGGGATCCCTATCGGATTCATTATTTGAAGGCAATTTGTTTAGTACTTTCAATACTTCAGAAATGGTCAGGCCTCTCCGACCCATTTGCAAAATATTTAAAAATCAGAAAAAAATAAACTATCTACAATTAAGAAAATATAAACTATAAAATTAAATAAACATCTACAATTCAAAACTACCAAAACATAGCGCTAACAAAACTTCTTTCAGCCAAAGCGAAAGAAAAAGAGAGAATTGCTGCAATAAAAAATCAGAGCTAACAATTACCCCTCACCTTCAGAAAAATACCCCAACAATTTTAGTTTGCTGCCAGCCCCCCTAAGAAACAAATATTAAAAAAAAATAGGAAATAAAATGCAGATGTGTGCCCACCTTTCCAATATTGTGAATGAGCTCGCAGAAGAAAATACTGCAGTAAACAAAGATGGTATGGTCATGGTGTTTCAGTGATCTCAAGCTGGATGCACCAGAAGTTCATCATTCGATTTTAAGCAAGATTTCAAGGTAAAAACTTAAAACTAATGTAGAATTAAGAGATCAGCATACAGCCAAGAAAATAGAAATTTCTTTTCAAACAATTTTTTTTTTAATCTTAAAAAAAATATGAAAGATTTCTTGAAAAATAAAACTAAACATGACTAAAATGTATGCATTGGTTTCTGTTGTGCTGCCACCTAGTATAAATAAGAAAAGTAACCTGTAAGGCCTTTTCCATTCAATTTTTCAGTGTGTACAGAGGGAATTTGTTTAGTGTGCCCAGACTGGGAACAGTGCTGAAAAGAATTAAAGTTTATTAGAGACAACTCTTATGAAGACTAATTTTTAACCTTGTTTTTTTACACTCTCATCATTTCATTTGGCTGCTCATTGACTAATGGCAGAAATGCTGAAGACGGGTGTAGGATTAAAAAAAAAAAAAAAAAAAAAAATCTCAAAAGAGAAGCCAGAAATATCATTTGGTCTAAGTGAGCTAAAAGGAAAAATATCATAAACATTTTTGTGTATTTTTTATGAGTTAGTGGATATGCAAAAACCTGTAAACATTTTGTATATTGTATGTGCGAAAGGTTTGTTGGTTTTCAATAGATGATACAAACTGTACTACGAATGTTGAAAAAAGTTATTGATTTCTAGAATGTAAACAAATAAATCCTTTATATATCAAACTTCTATTTATGTTCAAAATTTAGTTTATGCTCAGTTTTCCTCTAGTTATAAGAATAAATAAAAACTGTGTAATTTAGTCTGGTTTAATGGTTTACCCCCTAGATTTAAAATCAATTAAAAATGTTTAAGTAATAAATTTTTTTACATAAAATAAGAGCAACAATTTTTTTCACCGAGTGCATGTAATCTCGTATTTGCTTTGAATGAAATTATGTATTCTTTAAAAATATTCTTTAATGTAATTATGATTTGCTTTAAATGTAATAAATTTATTCTTCTTTGCAGAAGAATTATATTGATGCAGTTGAAGCTAGTATTGATGGAATGAATGAAGACAGTCTTGTAAGTTTCCTAACAATGATTACGAATATTACTGGTATTCGTAATTAGTTAATCTACATGTTCAATTTCAATTTTGAGAAAAGAATAGAAAATAGTTAACTTATTTTTTAGCTTTACAGAGTCAAATAACTTCTAGTATTAAGTAAAATTTAGTTTACTTAGAAATAATCTGTAAAATGAGACTTGAATATTTTTTTTTCAATGAGCCAGAAGCTTGATATATGATATTTAAAAAAAATGCTTGTCATTGCTGTAAATACATCCTTCTAAATATCCCTTTCAAATGAAAAAATATTGTGCACAGATGAAAATTAAATTTTGTGCTAAATAACTCGTGAATGAAGCAATTTGAAATTACCTATTACATTAAACAAGGATGTAAAAGAACAAACTCAGCTTATACTGGCAGAATCTGAACAAGAGGGCAAAACTTTAGAGGGTGATAAAAGGCAGCTATATGATCAATATTCGTCATAGGATATCTGTTGGAAAACAAACGATGAGAAGTTGCAGGGTAGTTTTCCACTGTCATAATTCAAGAATTAACACAAGAATAAGAGGAGATACTTCAGAAAATATTTTAACAGAACATGCTCATAGAAATTGCTCAACAGTCTTCACGTGTAGCGGCTTCCCTGGAGATAAGGGGGCGCTTTTGCAAAACCAGCATTCCCATTCAGCAAACGGATTTGGGATAGATATGGTTCATGGAACTGTGGTAGGTTCTTGCCAGCAAAGTCAATTGAGCCGATTTTCCAGTTGGCCATTTGTAGTGGCCCAGTTATTGCATGAGAAATAATTATTTTTTATTTCATATATTTGTTCATGTGTTTAATTATTTTATAAAATTAACTTTAATATTTTGTTAATATTCATATTTATATTTAAATTTCTTTATGCTGAATGGCAACTAGTTCTAGTTCTGATTCATGATTGCTAGGTTTTGGTTTCAAAACGTTGCTCGTAGCGTCGCATTTCGATAGCTGGAAAATAAAATGCAATAACTTAGCTATTTGTTTATAATTCATGCTGTTACTAGTCATAAATTAATTTTAAACATTAGTAGCCAAGGCTACATCGTGGTGACCCTGATTAATTTTCGAAATGTCAACAAATGACTCTTCTGAAACTGCTATGAAAGATACGATACAGTCACCGGAGCTTCATAAGGTGAGTGTGAAAATACCTCCTTTTTGGATTGATAAACCGGAAATATGGTTTTTTCAAGTTGAAGCTCAGTTCAAACTTAGAAATATCGTTTCAGAAGAAACGAAATTTAATTATTTAGTTTCACAGCTTGAACCTAAGTTCGTCGAAAATATTTGGGACATTGTAACGAACGATAGTGCCACAAAATATTCGGATGCTAAAATTAGGTTATTACATTTATTCAAAGAAAGTGAAAATGTACGGATTAAACGTTTGATTACTGGTATCGAACTTGGAGACATGAAACCAAGCCAACGTTTGCAGAAGTTGAGATCAGTTGCTACTACAGATGTGTCTGAAAATCTAATCAAAACTTTATGGCTGGAGAAGCTACCTGACTCCATAAAAAATATATTATTAGTTAGTGATGAAGATGTAACCAAGTTAGCGTCTATGGCAGATAAAATTAGTGATATGAATCGGAAACCAGAAGTATTTAGTACTAATGCTCCTTCTGTTCCCGCAAATGATTTGTTGCAAAGAATTACCTTTCTTGAACAAAAAATTGATCAAGTAACCATTCGCTCAAGACGAAGGGACTCGGATTTACGTAATTCACGTTCACGATCTCGAAGCCAACCTCGTAAACGATATATGACCCTACTGGCAAATTTTGTTTTTATCACTTTCGTTTTGGAGCAAAATTCATTCTAGAGAAATGCAAGCCTCCGTGTGCTTGCTTGGGTAAAAAACGATTTCAAAAACCAGGAAAACTCGAATCTGCAGTAGGTTCAGCGGCAAACGCTGCTGCAGAAAATATGAAGGATTGTCGCAAATTTCGTTTATTCGTTCGTGACCGAAGATCAAATTTGCACTTTCTTATTGATAGCGGAGCTGACGTAAGCATAATTCCTGCTACTTCACAGAATAAATGTAAAACTGAATATAAACTGTATGCAGCTAATGGCACAGATATTTCCACTTATGGCATAAAAACGCTAACTCTTGATTTGGGATTACGTCGTGATTTTCAGTTTCCATTCATAATTGCTGATGTCACAAAAGGTATTTTAGGAGCTGACTTTCTTCACAAATATAAATTGCTTGTCGATATAAATAAGAAAAAAATTAATTGATGGCGTAACACAGCTTTGTGTCCAGTGTGATGTCGCTGCTATTTCCAGTGATTACTCAGTAACCACATTAAATAAATCCATAAAAATTTTCGATTTACTGTCGAAATATCCCGAAATTTCTAAACCTAACCTTTTTCCTACACAAATTAAACATGGTGTTACACATTTTATTTCGACTGTTGGTCAACCCGTTTATTCAAAGGCACGACAGCTCGATCCAAAACGCTTAGCTATAGCTAAAGAGGAATTTAAATTTATGCTTGACAATGGAATAATTCGTCCATCAAACTCCCAGTGGTCAAGCCCCTTGCACCTTGTTACGAAAAAGGATGGTTCATATCGTCCTTGCGGAGACTACCGACGATTGAATGCGCAGACGATACCTGATCGATACCCAATTCCTCGCATTGAAGATTTTCATCATATTTTAAGAGGTACAAATATTTTTTCTAAAATTGATTTATTCAAAGCTTATTTTCAAATTCCCATTGCAGAAGAAGAAGACAAATGTAAAACGGCTATCATCACTCCTTTCGGTTTATACGAATTTAATGTAATGAGTTTCGGTTTAAAAAATGCTCCTGCAACGTTCCAAAGATTTATTCACGAAGTCTTTAGAGGATTAGAATTCGTTTTTCCCTATTTAGACGATATACTCATTGCATCCAGTACCCATGAAGAACACGAAAATCACCTTAAATTAAATTTTTCGAAAGATTACATACATTTGGGTTAAGAATTAATGTTTCAAAATCTGTCTTTGCTGTTCCCCAAATCGAGTTTCTAGGCTACCTAATTACACCTAAGGGTTCCCGTCCTTTGCCAGAAAGAGTTCAAGCTATTACTAACTACAAACGACCAGAAACAATTCATGAACTTAGAACCTTTCTTGGAATACTTAACTTTTATCGTCGTTATATAAAGGATGCAGCGAAGAATCAAGCATTGTTACATGCGTATCTCAAGGGAGCTAAAAAGAGGGACAAACGTAAAATCGAATGGACTGAAGAAGCTGAAAAACAGTTTGAAACGTGCAAGAATGACCTGGTGAACACGGCACTGTTGTCTTTTCCCAATTCTGAATTACCTCTGGCGTTATTTACAGATGCTTCAGATACGGCGATTGGCTCAGTGTTGCAACAATATGAAAACTCCTCGTGGAAGCCAATAGCATTTTTTTCTAAAAAATTAAGTGATACTCAGCAAAAATATAGCACCTATGATAGAGAACTATTAAGCATATATCTTTCAGTTAGACACTTTAAGCATTATCTAGAAGGAAGAGTATTTACAATTTATACAGATCACAAGCCCTTAATATTCGCCTTTCGTCAAAAACTTGACAAAGCAACACCTAGACATGCTCGCCAACTTCAATACATCTCCCAGGTTTTCGACTGATATCAAATATTGTAAAAGGTGAGAATAATATTGTGGCGGATACATTATCTAGAGTTAATGAAATTTCATCGATAGATTATGATAAAATAGCTGATGAACAAACTCAAGATGAAGAACTGAAGAGTTTGCAAACCACTACTTCCTTGAATTTCAAGCAATGTTCTCTACCTTCGGGGAAATATTTGTGGTGTGATACATCAACTAAACATGTTCGGCCGTATATTCCTCAGGCTTTCAGAAAACACGTCTTTCAAAGAATTCATGGTTTATCACATCCAGGAATAAAATCGACTATGAAATTAATGACATCAAAATTCATTTGGCCTAACATAAAAAAAGATGTACAGTTGTGGACAAGAACCTGCATTCATTGCCAAAAAGCTAAAATCAGTCGGCACACCAAAACAAAATTAGGTGAGTTTGAAGTATCACCAGGAAGATTTTCTGTCATCCATATCGATCTCATAGGACCACTTCCACCATCTAAAGGGAATATTTATTGTCTTACTTGCATAGATAGATTTTCGAATTGGATGGAAGCAATTCCTTTAGAAAATATTTCCGCTGAGAACGTCGCAAGAAGCCTTTTATAGCAACTGGATTGCGCGTTTCGGAACGCCAAGTAAACTCATTAGTGATCGTGGATCCCAATTTAAAAGTGATACATTACGAGCTTTGTCCAAAATCTGTGGCATCAATTTACAACACACTACTGCCTACCACCCCTCGTGTAATGGCAAAGTTGAGCGCCTTCATCGAACATTGAAAACAGCATTAAAAGCCCACAACAACATATCTTGGACGGACACGTTACCAACAGTACTTTTGGGTTTGCGTACTCAACAGCACTATTCAAGAAGATACCAATCATTCTATTGCGCAAGTAGTTTATGGCCAGAGTCTCAGACTTCCTGGAGAGTTTTTCAGCGAACCAAGTATCCAGACAGCATCGGAGACTTTTGCTAATAAACTCCAGAAACAGATGGAAGTTGTTGGACCGAGACTAATTCGTAAAAATTCATCTGAACAGATATTTGTCCATAAAGACTTAAAAACTTGTTCTCATGTGTTTCAGCGAATAGATCGGGTAAAAAAAACCTTTGGAACCTCCTTATGAAGGACCATTTCCTGTTATTGATCGCAAGGACAAATATTTTACTATTAGCATAAAAGGAAAACATGTTAATGTATCCCTGGATCGCTTGAAACCAGCATATATTTTAGCTGAGGAAAATTCTCAGTTGATACAACCTGACTACACTAATTTGCAGAGACCGGACTCAAATTCGGATGTGAATCAAAAACATTCTCGCACAGGCAGAACTATACGTTTACCTGTTAGATTCAAGGACTGACTAAATTATTTTGATAGTGGTTAACACTGCAATACTAGTTACTACCTATTTCTCCATCTTCGTAACGTAACTTAGTTACTGGTGGGGGAGTAGTGTAGTGGCCCAGTTATTGCATGAGAAATAATTATTTTTTATTTCATATATTTGTTCATGTGTTTAATTATTTTATAAAATTAACTTTAATATTTTGTTAATATTCATATTTATATTTAAATTTCTTTATGCTGAATGGCAACTAGTTCTAGTTCTGATTCATGATTGCTAGGTTTTGGTTTCAAAACGTTGCTCGTAGCGTCGCATTTCGACAGCCGGAAAATAAAATGCAATAACTTAGCTATTTGTTTATAATTCATGCTCTTACTAGTCATAAATTAATTTTAAACATTAGTAGCCAAGGCTACACATTAACTAATCCATCGTCCTGGAAATTTTGTCGTTTGAATAACTAGCAATCCTCTTGGCAGTCCACAGTAGAAAATGCTGTTGGGTGAGAAGACTGACCCTTTTTACACCATTTGTTTACAATGCCACCTATCGGCTCGCCATTTGAGTTCTGACCATGCATTCTGTGACAAATATTGCCTGTATAGTTGCTTTTTATCACCCCTAAAGTTTTGCCCTCTTGTTCAGATTCACCCTGTATATATGTGTGTGTAATAATTTGGATGTTGAACATGTTAATAAGTTTAAAAAAGTTAGTAGTCTTAGCGGAATTTAATATTTCTTTTCATTCTAGTTAAGAAATATAAATCCAACATATATAAAGTGGTGCAAGAAGTGTTGAAAACTGGGAAAGGTCGGGAAATTCAAAAATTGACCAAAAAAGTCGGGGAATTTAAATATTTGAGTCGAAGTCTGGGAATTTCATACTGTGATGTCCAAAAAAAGTGATTTTCGTGCCAACTTCAAAAGCGATTACTTTCTTGGTGAATCGTATTGCGTATGCATCATTTGGGCAGCTGGCATAGAGCCAGTGTTCACAGCACCAATCAGATTGTCTTTTAGAAAGGCAAAGCAAGTTTTCAGTAACCTCTAGAATCCAGAGATGCGCATGTACAGTATATGTTGAATAAAAGTAAATCCCCCCCCCATTCTCGTATAAAAAAAAAATCTTTTAAACCCTTTTCTTATTTTTTAAATGCCTTAATTTCCATTTTATAGTAAAATAGAAAATAACAATCAGTTATCTAGGCTGACCATTTAATATATATATATATTCACCAAAATACTGTCAATTTTTGTAATTTGGTTTTTAATTCTTAAGTAATTAATTTTGTTTTAATAATTAACTTTGTTTAAGTAATTAACTTTGTTTTGTTTGTTTGTGTTATTTGTATCATTTAATGTGTCTTCTTCCTTCTAAATTTATTTGTTATTATTTAATAATGCTTTCAGATTTCATGCAGTTTTCTCTGGCATACTTCTGAAACTAATTCTGGCAGTAATATGACATACCATCATGACATTTAATGCACATATTTTTTACTTATGTATGCTGCTAAATAAATATAAAATACTTAATATTACTTAGAGTAGAGACAGAAGACAAGCTGAGTGCCAATAATGGCATGCTTCACATAGGTGTCAATATAATTTGTATACCAGTCTTAAAAATCATTAAATAATCTTTCTATCATCAGTTTTGATTGAAATGCAGTAAATATATAAAGCTCACCTTGTATATAACATGTATTTGTAGATTAAAAAAATTTTCCTCCTGCAGTATAATTTATTTGTAGAATGAGATCTTTGAACGAGGTGTATTAATTTAATAGCTGCAAAATATTAAGGATAGATAAAGTAGTTCTGCCATTTAGTATTAAAAAAAAATGCATTTGTTAAAAAATTAAAAATTTCTGGTATGTTTAATATAACAGTGCAATTCAGATGGTTAACACTAGCATTATGGCAAATTAATAAAATGTAATAATTTAATTTATGACATTTATTTTTGTTAAGGGTTAAAACTCTTCAAAAAATTATAAAAATTGATTTTTTATTTTATAGACTTTGATGGTTACTGTTTCTTTTTAACATTTTTAACCATTAGTATTAGTCTTATATGCAACGAAAATTTTTTGGTTGAATTCAAAGAGTAATTGCATGTTGAATATTCCATCCCAATACCATAAAAGGACTTAATCAACCAAAAAACAACATGCTGCCCGAAGATTTCTTCAACTGGTTAACTTTAATCTTTAAAATAAGGATATCCGTTTATAAGTATTTTGTTTTTGCATCAGTGAAAAGCCCAAATTGTATGCCAATCTTGCCGGTTTTTTGCGAAGTACTGAATAAAACAGTGTCTTGTATTTTTGCATCAGTGAAAAGCCCAAATTGTATGCCAATCTTACCGTTTTTTTGCGAAGTACTGAATAAAACAGTGTCTTGTATTTGTAGGGAACACTGTTCATCAATTGTAATATAACATAATAAACAATTCTCATTAAATGTGTTCCAGACATCTGAAGGAAGAGAAAATGGATCAGTTTTTAATTCGTATGATGTAGATAACTTTAATTCTGACTTATGATCTAGATGTCTTTAATTCAGAGTATAAATAATTCTTTGTTTCCAAGAATCTCTCCTTAGACATTGTTTCACTAAAAAGTTTTAAGCCCAGGGATTTGGACCATAAACCCAAAAGAAAAAGTCCTTTAGCAGCCAAAGTGCTGCAGACATATGATAGAGTAATAAAAGCATCTAATTCATCAAGTGATTTTAGTTTGAGATTAGATTTCCTTGTTTTGCCTTGTCTTATGTATATTGCTGTATATGATAGTATTTTTTCATTGATAATAAGTCTCCATGCATTAATGTTTCCATCAGTTACATTTCTCTTAGCAAAAATAGTTTGTCTACCTTTTTCTTGTACAACATTTTGAAGAGCAAGATTTCCAAATGAATTTGATGAAAAATAATTTGCTTTTTTCTCACTGTGCTCCACTAAATCATTTGCTTTCTCTTCATTTTTTGATTAACTTTCTGCATTTTTTAAACATCGAATTTGTCTTTGTTTCCTTAGTGGACTTTGGTTATTCCGTGTCTTTTTGAACCACAATTACTTTCTCGTTCTTGACTAAACTCTCATTGAGGGCTAAAACCTTGACCTCAATAAAACTTCCTTTTGTAAGAATTTTGAAATCAAATAGAGTATGAAAATGATGAAATAATGTCTGGTACTTCCTCGAGACAAGGTACCAGAGATATTATGACAATTTCTTTTGAAGAATAATAAAACCATCTGTAATTTTATTAATCCAATCTTCATCAAATGAAATAGAATAAATTTCTGTGTTAGCCTCTTCTTAGGTACTAATTTCTAAATCAGAGTTATCCTCAGTTAATTCTTGTAAAACATATGAAAATGATGAAATAATGTCTGGTACTTCCTCGAGACAAGGTACCAGAGATATTATGACAATTTCTTTTGAAGAATAATAAAACCATCTGTAATTTTATTAATCCAATCTTCATCAAATGAAATAGAATAAATTTCTGTGTTAGCCTCTTCTTAGGTACTAATTTCTAAATCAGAGTTATCCTCAGTTAATTCTTGTAAAACATATGAAAATGATGAAATAATGTCTGGTACTTCCTCGCGACAAGGTACCAGAGAATTATGACAATTTCTTTTGAAGAAAATAAAACCATCTGTAATTTTATTAATCCAATCTTCATCAAATGAAATAGAATAAATTTCTGTGTTAGCCTCTTCTTAGGTACTAATTTCTAAATCAGAGTTATCCTCAGTTAATTCTTGTAAAACATATGAAAATGATGAAATAATGTCTGGTACTTCCTCGAGACAAGGTACTAGAGATATTATGACAATTTCTTTTGAAGAATAATAAAACCATCTGTAATTTTATTAATCCAATCTTCATCAAATGAAATAGAATAAATTTCTGTGTTAGCCTCTTCTTAGGTACTAATTTCTAAATCAGAGTTATCCTCAATTTCATCATTTTCATACTCTATTTGATTAATACTAAGTCATTTTTTGTGGTTCTACGTGACATGATTAATAGAAAAAATTTACAGAATGAAAATCATGGTCAGAAGCCTCAAACATTTGCAAGCAAAACAAAGCTGTGACACAAAACAAGACAAAGAACTTTCTAAAACATTCACACAAGAAACATGAAACCTGTTTGAGACATTACATCTTTGGGAAGGGGGAACACTCACTTTTATTCTGACCAGCTGTTGAGTAACATCTGGCATGGAAAAAAAAAAAAAAAAAGCCCTAGACAAATGGCATGAAGATGCTTTCACCTTTAGGGAGTTTTTTATTAAACAGGGAAGAAATACAGTCAAAAATGACCACTAGCTGTAATTCTAGTATATACTGTTATGTTTAAAAAAAATAATCATTTAAAACATGCCAGGTGAATTATTTTGTCATCTTTGTATATATTTAGGAAAAATTTTAAAAATATCAAAATATTTAAAAAGAAAATGAAATAATTTAATTTCATTTGCAGTCACTATGACTGCTTTCGTAATTTTCTCTCTTGTGAAATTGTTAAAAGTTTGTCCTCAAACCTGGAGTACTAGCGTAATAAAAAAAGTCATATGACAATTATTAATTTTTAAATGATGGAGTTAAGAAAGATTTTTCTTGAGCATATACTGTTTTTAGGAAGGAAAAGGGAAATATCCTGATTAAAATATAGCCACATGACTATTGCAAATTAAAGCCATAATTCTCCTTTACATATTTATCTTACTAAATAGGTATATGAACAGGTTCATATGTATGAAACAGGTACACTAAACATACATATATTGTGCTTTTTTTAACAATGTATGAATTTTATTTTTAAGCAAAATTAAAATTTTTGTGTTACTTTTATATATCATATAAAATTTATTATTTTTAACTGAAAATGTACAAATTATTTTAGCTTTAAAAGTTGTTAATGCTTTATATTTATTTTCAGGTTGTCTTGTTCTTAATCTTTTATTGTTGTGGAATTTAAGTCACTCTCTAAAAAAATGGCAGAAAGTTTATTAAAATTTGTTATTGTGTTTAGAAAAAGTACAATAAATGAAGATGATGTGAAAAGGAATGCATTTGAATTTTTTACCGAGTTTCACAAGAGAGAAAATATTAGTTATGATATTAATATTTTAGAATCGAGAAACATTGATGTTGACCAAGTATATAAAGCTAAATTATGCGAAATGGAAGTGCATATAAAATACTTTGGAACTAATAAACACTTTGATCCTGGTGTCTATTTTACTAAAATATCTAAAGAATGGTGTAACAAAGATAAAAATGAGTTGTCCAGGTTATGGTTAAGACTTAGTAACCACACAGTGTTAAAGAACAAAGGCAAACAATCTCATTGTGATGTTGATATTAAAGAAATAGCTTTTGGAACATTTCCTAGCATGGAGCACTTCATGCAGCAGTATCATTATGAAACTAAAACAAATGATCGTGAAATAATGGCTACTTTTTTACACAGTCAAAGGAATTTTATTGTATATACGTGTTTAAATCATGTAAATGACTGTAAATTCAAAGGTTTAACTAACAAATTTTATGTGCAGTATAAATCTATCTCTAAAGTTATAATTAATGATGTACCAAATAGAGAGATTGTACAATTGTTTTTTCAGTTACAACATATACCTTTAGTTTATAAGGAAAAAAAAAGCAAGGATGGTGATGAAGATGAGATGCATAGTGGTGAAAAAGCAGTATTTTTAGCTTCTGATCAAGAGTATCAAGAGAGAAAATGGGAACGAACTCTTAAGTTTGGTTGTTGGTGTAGTAAATCTAATTGTACTTTGTATCGAATTGGTAAATGTTTAGTTTTCAAAATTGTTATTTCCCGTAAGCATAGAGCAAGTGGTATCATTGAACGGTTGATTCAGCGGTGCCCAGCAAGTACACATTTTTACTATGCTAGTGTAGAAACAGTTGCCCTAAAAATAAGATACAAAGATTTTTCTAAATTTCCATTTGAAAAAGGAAATTTTAGTTTAAACAGGAATGTGGTTTCAGAAGTGGAATTTATTTGTCAGTTTGCATGGCAGGTTCTTACTGGAAAGTCAAATGAAATCAGAGATCAGATTATTCTGATGGATGAAACTGAAAATCACTTGGACCGAGCTGACCATTGGGAGTTAGTAAAAAAGAGCTTGAAGAAATATTGCAAGGAAAATATAGAGGCATTAGTGAATGCTTTGCATCACATTAGCGAAATGATTGATAGGAACGACATTTTTACATTCCGAGATGCTTTGAGTGTTCTTTTTGAACATTATCAACATAATTCAAACAAGGTTGAACTTCCCGAAGGAATGTGTTTAATGCGCCGTATGATTATTTGTCCATCCCGGGTGATATGTTTGCCACCTTCTGAACATTTTGATAATAGAGTTATCAGAGAATTTGGTGCAGAAAATATGTTGAGAGTATCAATTCAAGATGATAACTTTTCAAAACTTACATTTGCTGTGCAGTATCATACAAAAAAGGGACGTTTTTTAGATGAAGTTGCTGGTGCAATTCTAAAAAAAGGTTTATCAATTGGTCCCAGACAGTATGTGGTGTTAGCATCTTCAAACAGCCAACTTCGAGAGCATGGTCTATACATGTATGCAGCTGATTGTAAAGGTAATACTGCTAACTCAATTCGAACTTGGATGGGAGACTTTAGCCATATTAAAAGTGTAGCAAAGTATATGGCTCGTATGGGGCAGTGCTTTTCAACATCTGAAGAAGCTGTACAAATAGAATTAAGTGATGAAAATATTGTTAGTTTGAATGACAAAAAGTCTGCAGATGGAAAGTACACCTTTTCAGATGGTGTAGGAATGATATCAGCAGATTTGGCAGAAGAGGTAATATTATCTTTTCCATTTTTTTTCTGTTTATTTTAGATATGAATAACCAAAATTCATTATATTTGAAGTTTTGTGTGATTAACTGAAGTACAAAATTATTTTAATGAAATCTGAATTGGAAGTTATTAGCAAACGAGTTACAAGGAATTATGTTTCTTTTCCTTTAACTGAATCTTTTCTAGTATTTATGAATGTCTGATTCGTAAATTTTGGGGCATCTTCTTTCACTAACAACAGGAGTGTTTGTTTCAAAATGCATAATTTAATGGGCCATTAACTGTTTGACTGCTACATGGCGCAAAAGCGCTGCGTTCGTTTGTCTTGAAACCTGCAACGCAGTTAGTTATTTTAGAATGCATTCGTGTTACAAAGTACGCGTGAGGTCAGACTACGTTCACACCCACAAGGAGCAACAAAGACACGCTGAAACTCGCAGTGCAAAAGCGCTGCATCGCGGTTTTTGAGACTACTGAATGCAGCGCTTTTGTGCCGCGTAGCAGTCACAGTTAATGATCTGAATCCGTAGCTGCCAGCTCTCCCAGTTTTTCATCACATCCCTCAATTTTCTGGTAAAGCACCGATTCTCTTGGTTTCTAATTTTTAGCCTTTACTAAGAAAGAAGTTTTCCAGTGATGAAGTTTATTGAATTAATGAAATTCTGATTGTGCAAAACCCATTCTCTCCACTAGCAATTTTCAGCATTTTTTCATATTATGTCTTGTGGTACTTTCTGATTATCTGCACCCTCTTGAAAAGTATTCTTGAGGCTGCTCTTTGTTGTACGAGTAGGCAACCCATGGCATTGATAAAATATATTTATGTAGCAACCCAGGTATGCAGCTGATTAATGTTATTAGTGTTTGTTTTTTATTGCAATGAGTGCATTTAAAAAAACTGTAAGAAATTATAATGGGACTGGGGAGTTTGCCACCTGATGAAAAAGAAAGCATTACATTTCTTTAGAAATATGGTGTTTTGCCAAACAGTAGAGAAAGCAAAAATTCATATTCTGTGAATGGATTGTGAAATCTATAGGATTACTCCATAAGCAATTGAATTTTATGAATCAAATTTTCACAGTTTTCTGATGTTTTTGAGCAAAAACAGATTGTTGTGTAGATTGGTAGAACAACTATGCATAGCAGCAAGTTGTATACAATGTTGAATTTCTGCAGTTCTCTGTTCCCGGACATACAAGAATAGAGGGTAATGAGTTGGCAGACATCGCAGCGAAATCTGCTGTTGAACTCTCTGGTCGCCTCATCTCTTTGAGAGATATCACTCGTGTCATCAAACAAAAGGATCTTAAAAAAGTGGCAGCGATTTTGGGACTTCCAATCTTGTAACAAGTTAAGAATGGTGAAGTCTAGAATAGAGCTTTAGGATTGTAGTAGAAATCATAAGCAGGAAGTTCTTTTGACTTGGCTTAGAACAGGTCACACTAGAGCGACACATAGCTATCTACTAAAAGCTGAGAATGAGCCTGTTTGTTCAAGACTTGCCTCTTGACTGTTTAATTGGAAGAGAGATCAATACCAATTTGTTTCAGTATCTGAAAGAAACAGTTCTCTATTATTTAATTTGGTTTTATGTTAGAATTTTAATGAATCAGATGTGTTATGATTTTAAATTCATACTGCATAGATCATTATCTGAATCTTAATCAGAATTTCATCCCACCATTTCATGATCTTACTTACTTGCCTCGATTTTATAAGTGTGCTGTTGTTTTTAAACCTTTTTCTGTATGTAGCGTATATACAATAAATCCTGTGTTTGGTGCATATGGCCTTTAGAGCTTTGCGCCATAAATCTATTACCACCACCATCTGCAGTTCTCTGATTTTATTTAACAGATTGCTCTGATTTTCCTGCTGTGTACAGGAGAAGTTTTAAGCTAAAACAGATTGAAGTGTATAGGGAAAAAACAGTGTAGGAAAAAGCTGAGTATTTTATTATGGATGTTTCATGCATTTTTAATTTTGTTAATCGGTTGCTGTTTTTTGTAATTCTTAACGTGCTGTCATTTTTAAAAATGGAGTTGTCTTTTATGTCATAGCTTGGCAAAAAATTACTCACCAATAGTTGATTTTTTGGAAGGAGGTGCAGATAATCAGAAAGCACCAGTTTTATTTGATGCAAATTATCTTGGTCTACTTTTGGCATTTATGAAACTTTGTATGAAGGTTCAAGTAATATTTGTGTTTAATTTTATTTACATCAGTGTATGTTACATTACCAATTTTATCTACACAATAAATAGTATTTACATTAGTTATTAATTTTATTTTCATCATGTTTAAAGTACTTTGACTAATAAAGGCTTTCCCCTCCCCCTCAGTGTATAAAAGTGTAAGTAAATTGCAAAATGAAATAAGAATAACATAAAATACATAACATAAAATTTAGAATATTTAATTAAATATTAATGTATTTTGCATCAGAATCATATTAAATAGTTTAATAAGTTGAATTATGTGCTAACTCAGTTTATTTTATTAGTAAATTTGGAGTTCTTTGTGATATCGCCTTGCAGCTGTGTTAGTTTTTGATGTACATGAATGATGATGTAAATTTATTTGTATTTGTGTGTGCAGCATTACTTGCAAAGAAAGCTTACTCCAGATTGTTTTGAAAAGTGCAGCTGATTTTGTTTATTTATAAAGAATGTTATTGATTAAAATTAGCTAACAAATCTGTGTAGATAATAAACTATGTAGGAAGTTTTGGTACTATACGGTTTTGAGGGTCGTAAAAAATCGCCAAACTATTGTTGATGCCAATGCTATCTAAGATTGATGTTTTAATTTAGATGAAAGTTTAAATTCATATAATACTTTTTAATTATTATAATTTATATGAAAATAGCTAAACATGACTGAATGGAAGCATAAGAGTAAATAACTATTTCAGATCATTATTATAATTTATATAAAAATTGCTAAACATAACTGAATGGATGCCTGCATCGCTATTTTGCTACCGACTTATCGCTAAAGCATAATTTCATCTCGTTGGTTGTTCAAACGTAATTTTCTATAATGAATGATGCCTTTTTCTTTGACAATATTCTCGGTAAAGTGCAGAATCGCTCACTTATTTGTTTGCTGCTTTTTTCAAGGGTAAAAATAATTGGATTTTTGTCAAATTTCTTTTACTTTTTAAGTGAAAATAGGTCAATGTGTACATAGATAAAGTCAACGGTGTGAGCAGTGCCATTTTTGTGCAATTCTGTAATTTTTTTTTTTTTTTTTGACTGAAAATAGGTCAATGTGCATATGGATACCGAGTATGTGCAATTCTTAAAAACGCGTCGAGCAGCGGGTGATTCTGCACTTTACCCAAAATTCTATTGCCGACTTTTCGTCATGCGCAATTTCCAAATTGTGAAATCTATAGGATATCGAAAAAGGATTTTAAAAATTAAACTAGTATTTCAATGGAGTCTTAAAAAATATAGAACTATATAAACTTGCGCAATCAAAAATCAGCACGTATGCTAGATTTGGCGCTCTGTTAAATGGGTGCGTTTGCTAGATTTGACGCTTTTGCGCATACATTTTTGCTGTAATTTTTTTACGGTTCTCAAAACGGAATAGTGCCATGAATCCTAACTACTCACACTATAGTGGAAGAAACATTATATAATTTCTTGAAATACAGCGATTAGAATTTAACAAAACTGCTATGAAGGTCGCTCTTGCCGACAGTATTCAAAGGGACGAAAAGGTCTACATGACTCAGACATTCACATTGAAGGAAGATCATTCCGCATAACTTTGCGCTTCCCTCAGCAAAGGGCAACAGGACACTTTTAGCATTGGATTTTCTTTAGAAGCACTGGAATTGTTTTAGATCTGCAAAATCATTGGTGGTTTTGCCACGATAATCCGCAACAAAAGTTTAAGTTTATTGATGATGATTTTAAATCTAATGATCAAACCGAGTGTACGTTTTAAGTTGACACTGGACTGTTAAGAGAAGGTGAAGGACAACATCTATTGGCTCATCAAAGATCACAATTAAATGAATTATTGAGTCAATATTCAACTAACTTCCAACTATAACCAAAACTACCATACATAAAAGACTCACCTGGCCTTTATAATTAGCTTTAATTAACAAAACACAATTAAGATAAAACATTACAATTAAGGGCATTGTAATTACACATAAATTACAATAAATCTCAGGGAACAATATGTTCAGTTCTTGACTCCAGTACATTGACTGAAGGCTAAAAAAACTTTTATCATTATTGTGCAGAGTTCTTGTGGAGTAAGATTTCAGTCCTTCACAGATTTCAAATATTCTGTCAGTAGCTGGAAATAGTGAAAGTAAACAGATGTTGCCATGTTAAAGAACTTTTTTATACTTTACATCTTCACAATCTTTACGGGACTTGCAGAATGGAACTTTGTAATTGAACAAAAAATTATATCTGTCTATAGAATTTGGGGGTGGGGGAAGAAGCAACTTACTTTGAAAGAAATGTAGTTGCTTATAAGTTGGATCTGTGCAGCCTTCTGCACACACAGCATTTCTGTCTACATGAAACAGTTAAAAACAGGATTCATTTTAATGTCAGACTGTGCTAGTTATCCACCATTTAATGGCAATGCTGTTTGGCCCAAGTGTATATCCCAAATCTGCTATTAACAACAATTGCCTACTAACTATTAGACTGCATGGAATGCATTGTGGACAATACAATCTGTTGATTGATGGTTTTGGTCATCAACATTCAATTGGGATATAATTTGGCCTATTATAAGAAATTTTGTTTCTGAAGTTCCATTTTTACACAATATGTAGATGTACATTCTTTGCACAAGTCATAGAGATTAGCTTGGAATTGAAACATTTTTTAAGTATCTTTGCTATTATTGTTGATAAAAACTCAATAATATATGCTATCTTGATGAGAGAGTTTACCTTTTTGTTTAGTTTGTTTTGTTTGTTTGAGTTTACCTTTTACCATTTATTCAATCTGTGGTCATATTGTCATAAATAACATACTCAGCCCATGTCTTTCAGATTTATAATGAAATTTCATCTAAATTTCTAGCATCTATCATTTGTATGAAGTGACGTTCATGGCAGAAGATACAGCTGGGAGTTTGAACTAAAATTTTGTGTAATATTTTGGGACTTCATTTTTTATTCTTAAAATCTATAATTTGCATCGGAATTTTCATGGTGTAGTAATTGGTTACAGATGACTATTGTATGTTAAAAGATTATTGTGCACAAATGAATAAAGTTTATTAGCAGTCAGTTTATTTTAAATGATAAGAAGGTGGTTCAGCTTTGAGCAGAGAAGATTCAAAAAGACTAAAAATGAAATTCATGCCTTTGTAGTATAAAAGGGCATTGCCTGATATTGATCATATACCAATTATGGCATGCTATGGATAATATTCACATCAACAGATGATATCACTATCACAAGCTGTATTTAAATATGCATAGGTTGCTGTTGCATACCTGCACATGAGAATCTTTATATATATAAGCGGCTAAAGTGTGTGTCGCCGATAGTTTATTGTTGCCACTCGAAAAAATGAGTGCAGAAAATAACGTTTCCGCAGTTTTTAATTAATATCTCGTCCGATTAAAGTCATACGAAGATGAGAACGGTATCGATGGATTCGGGGGAATTTTTTGGAATTCGAGGATGCGCATCTCGAATTTCAATCTGGTGCCATTCCGTAGATATTCGAGAAAAAAGAATTTGGCCCGTAGCCAAATCCCTGTTATAGGGAAAACCCAAGAAAGTGGAAAATGAAGTGAAAATTAGTTTTTAATTAAAGTCCCAAGAAGATGCGAATGGTCAAAATGGTGTGCCATGGACCTGCAGAATCCAACGGTGTGCTTTGCTAAGGTCTTCTGCAAGGCGAGCTTAAAAATGATGGAAAGATCTACACAAGAAATGTTGTGTACAAGAGATTTTTGACATGTGAATTAACATTTTATTATTTAAATCACCTTTATTTATTAAGCTAGCGGTGGGCTCTTAAGAAATGTACCGCCAGTGGTTTCCTACATTACACTCTACTTTAAGCAATTAAGTAGAAGGTGGAAACCCCGTAAGGCAGTAAGCAAAGGGGCGTCCTTGCCGCCTGTCCTGGGTAATTCAGTTTAAACTGGTAGACACCTTTGGACAAATCGTTTTAATTAAAATTTATAATATCTAGAACAGCGGTCATTTTGTATGACCGCCAGGCTTTCTAGTTTATAAATAATAGGATAAGAAAACAAAATATGTTAAACTTGGATATTGAAATTTTTTAAAATTACTTTGATTTTGATGAAAATGTGTATAATCTTTTAATTGCAAGATTATTAAGTATGCTTTCATGTGCACTTATTCCTTTTCTTTTACCCTGCCAAGGTTAGAAAAGCTTTGCATGAAAGGGTGCCTTTAAGCTTATTTGACGCAGAGCCATATCAGCCTACTGCTTTTCAAATTCGTTTCAAAGGCTGCAAAGGGATGGTTGCTGAATCACCATCTTTGACAGGCCGTATGTTGGGAATACGACCCAGTATGGAAAAATTCCAGTGTGATAGTTCAAATCTTTTAGAAATTGTAAAAATAAGTGCACCTAGTAAGTTTTGCTTTTGTATTTAAGTTTTTTTTTTTTTTTTTTTTTTTTTTTTGTAGTCTTTTTTGCATAACTTTCTTAATTTTTCATAAAAGAATTTAATATTCCAAATTACATATAAATATTATCATGAATATATGTAGCTTCAATTATTTTTATAATGAAATGCCATAATTTTGCAACATAAATTAGAATTTTATTTTTCATTTGTCCTGGAAATGGTTTCCAGAAACACAAAATAAAGTATTAATATGTATGTAAAAGAATCATGTTCCCGAGTGCAGGAAAAACAGTGTTAACTGACGTAGATTTTTATATCAGAAGCACTTTTAGTGATTGAATGCTATAACTTCTTTAATTGAAACTAAATGAAAAGGCACCACAGACAGAGAAAGAGAGATTTAAGGAACTTGCTAGCTTATCATGAAACCTTTTGTAAGTGAAGAGAAAATGAAAAATAATGAAAGGAAGCTAAGATAATAGCTGCTGTCTAGAAATATAAAGTGTAATCTGTTTATGGTTAGGAAAAAAAAAAAAAAAAAAGTTAGTTTAAATCACTGACGAGTGTAATTATTGATTAATACAAAATGTACTATTGACTAATATCATCCAATTTTTATGGATAGGGAAAGCCTCAAGGAAATATAATTCACCAAAAGAGAAATTTTTTTTGGATGATTTCAGAAGTAGTGAAGTAAATTCGTAGTTTGCAGACCAATTGCTGTGCATTATATGATTTACTTAGTTCCTTTTTTCAAACATAATAACCATGTTCTTTGATACAAAATTTTTAGAGGTTTCATGTGAGCAATGTGTATTTAACTGTATTGACAAGGATTGCTGTAAATTTTCCAAGATTTCATGTTAGAAATAGAACAGAATAGCATGTTATTCGCAAAAAGAAGGAAAAAAAAAAAAAAAAAAAAAAAAAGCTCAGAATTTAAACTTCTGTAAAATACATTCAGTTTTGTAACTGATAGGGAAAGAAATAACAAATAAATTATTATTATTGAATACAGCAAAAAATGTTTTCCTTATTTTGGAGTGGCCCACCAGCGGCCGAGTGGTAACGTCGCTGAACACTGGTAGTTCGGTCCGAGTTTCGAATCCCGCGAACGGGCTGGCTGCATGGGTGTTTTCATGGTTTTCCTCATGTATAACGTGTATACGAGCCAGTTTCCCTTAAAAAGTCCTCCACGAAGGCATCCCTCCCTTAAGGCAGATAGCCCTCGAGTGCTTTGCCGTAATCTAATAAACCAAACCAAAACCAAACCTTATTTTGGAATTAGAAAATGTTTTAACTCCTTAGTCAATAGTCTGAGGCAAGAGACTTATATCCACTGCTGTAGTTTTCAAATATTTCAATTCTTGTTTATAGGTTACCTTGGAAAATGTAGAATGCATAGAAAATAAAAGTTTAGAGAGACCAACTTTTTCTTTTGATACAATGACAACATATGGCATATGATGGGAAAACTGAGTAAGGTCTGCAATACATCGTGATGTCAAAACCAGAAATGTTTTATGTTGACTAAAATACCAAGAAAAAAAGGGCCGTTTGAAAACAAGCTGGATAGCAGTGTAACTAATTGGACTGAACTTGAAATGAGGTAAATCATTTTTACTGCTGTCAGTAAGAATGAATGCATTATTGGCCAAAAGGAAAAAATTAATTTTTTGAAAATGTTTATTTGAAAATAGTATATGTAAACATCTGAAGGATTTGGAGGACTTCTCACATCTAATCTGTCAGTTTGATAATAGTAATTGTTCTGAAAACAAAACGTGTCTCATTCAAATGACGTTAGGTTAAAAAATAAAAATTGGTTCTTCAAATTCATTATGTGAAAAATTAAATTTCCTAAGTCTAGTTTTCAAGCTATGAAGAGAAGCTTTCACTAGAATATTAGTGAACAAAGATTTGATATGAAATACATCCATGATAAAATTACCAGCAAAAATGTCTTTAAGTGTATTGTTAAATTCAGAGCTGTGGAGTCTGAATCGGAGTTAGGCAGCAGATTTTGGGGTAAAAAGAGTCGAAGCTGGAGTCGCTAAAAACACGTTGACTCTGACTCCAGTTTTTGTGGGACAGTTTGAGTTTGAAATGAAATGAAATTAAAGTGAATTGAAAGAAAAATTATAGCATATACAGAAATTAAACAAATGTGCTCTCAAACTTTGAGGTTATCTGAGAAACAAATTCATAAAAATTCACGCCAGTCAAATCCAAGTTAAAATAACATGCTGGATAACGATTACTGTGGGTGCTAAGACTTCAAGAATATTACTTTGATTCTTATTGCCTTAGCGCCTATAATAATTAATGGCTGTAATGGCATTTTAATGGGCAACAAAATGGTCATTTTCTATGTGAACATAAATTTGCTTAAATAGAAATCCAAATGGTATCGTTCACCTGCACAGTGTTTACAATTACACCAGTTTTCTGAATCTCTGAGTCTTTTAGTGTTGTGAGTATATGTACCTGTATATAGTTATTAACTTTGAAAACACTGCGCTTTCTCTTCTGTTGAAATCAGAACAGAGAAGTAACAGTTAATTTACATCCTTCTGAAAAAATAAACTGCCCCCATATTGAGGATCAGGGTTATATACCTGTTATGAGTGTGTTTTGACATCATGCTCATCTATTAATGGTGCTTAATTATACTTTTGGTAGTGCTTTTTATTTGCTGAAGGCAGCTGACAGAAAAGTCTGATTTTAAGTCATGTTTGTCAATGGGGCTTTTTGAAGTGTCATGTCATTACACAGCATAAAAATTTGCCAGTTTTTCATATATCAAGATTGACAGCTATGGAAAGGGGAAAATAAGTAATTTTTTGGTAACTAATTATAATTTGTACCTAGATCATTTATTCATATTCTATTATAAAATTACTCAAAAAAAATTCTGTTGGTGATTTGAGATGCCTTTAACATTAACTTTTATTAATTATGTTAAATCCAATCCACGTTTGCTGGGTGTTTTAAAAATTCTGTCTGACTTTTCAATTGCATTTATTTCTCTTTTCTTAATAAGTAGCGTTATGTAATATTGGTAACAAAATACTTAACTTTTTTAAAAAAGTTCTCCCTTTTTGCACCGTTACCTTTTTCCTGTGTCTGTTTTCACTTAACAAACATCAGGGAAATTCACAAACTTGGTATCATACAGCATCAACATTTGTGCACTGGGCCAAAACAGACGTGCTACACTTGGACTTCTGCATAAATAGATTTTGACGACATTATGGGTTGTCAAGCAACTGTATTGGTGGCATAATGCTTTGCCTCATGAACACTTTATTGTGATTCTTGGGTGTGGATAATCAAAAAGTACCAGAATTTTAACAAAAATTTACCATATTTATAACATGTTTGAATAAAGAAGTAAATTTACTCTTTAAAAATTTAAAACTTTAAATTAATTAAAATTTAAAGTTATTTAGCTTTCTTTTTGTGGTAAATGTGGATCACGAATTTGTGCAAGTTTTTCATTTGAGATAAAGCTGTTATTTTGGGTATATTCTATTCACTTGAAAATAAGACAGTACCAATAACTGTAACTTCTTACACTTAAAGATAAATTAAAAAAAAAAAAAAAGAAATGTAGGTAAATGTTTGATGAGAGCAGCTGTGATTCCAAATAGAATGAAAGATAAGCTGTCTAATTAAATAGAATATTTTATTGTGATAGAAAAAGGAGAATTGGAAAAAATTATTGTTACATTATTACCTATATATTTTTAGGCATATAAATCAGGGTAAAAGAGAAGGAATAGTTCATTCCTTTGTGTGACATCTTGCTGAGGCGATCCTCGTAGGGAAGGGGTTAACAGGAAGTAGTCCAACACCACTATGTATCTGCTCTGACTTTGTCTGTTTAAACTAGCAATAGCATTGTGTGCATATGCATGGATACCACAACACACAGATAATTGAGAGTATACTATGTTATCATTTCTACTATGAATTTTGCACTTTTTTCATGATAAAATTATTAATCTAATAGATGTGTAAAGTATTTTATCTCTTCTTACTGCATGTTTGGTTAGCAGTTGGAAGGTCCAGAGTTTGAACCCTGGGACGGCATTGCTAAACTTCATGCATTGACAAACCTAATGACTCTACAAACAGATAAGCACACATTCTTAAAAGAAGTGAAAAGTTCTTGGGGGATAACAGTATTAAAATTATAAACTATAAAGTTAAATTAGTACTAGTTGTTTAAGGAGCAGTTAACAGATTTAGAATGCATTCTAAGTTATTTCCATACACACACATATCACAAATTAAAATAGTGGTAATTGCATCTTCATTTCAGTATGTGTAATGTGTAGGAAACTCATATTTTGAACATTACCATTAAAGTAAAAAATAATATGAACAATACAGTAATTATGTATCGTATTCATTCATGTGGAACTATTATTTTACGAGTTGATCAACTCAGACCTTGTTTTCAGAGAGTATCTGCAAAATAATAATTTTGTTTAACTTAGTGCATTGTGTAAATGCCTCTATAATGAGTATATTGCAGTATTTTTTCAGAAGAAGCTATGATGGGTGTTCAGATGTTTATTTTGTTGTGAGATAAATCTATGAATGCCATCCATGTAAAATATTACAATCCTTTGCAAATAAAATCCAATCAAGTTGACTTTCAAATTATTAATGAATGGCAACCATCCGTATCTGATTGAATAGTCTTATTCATTTTTGAAATATAATCCTCTGTGGCAAGAGTATGGGGTTGACCAGGACAGGAATAATCTCTTTTTTTATTTATGTTCCTTCCTAAGCATTCTTGCCTATGTTCTTTTTGAGATGTGTGCATCACCATGCACTTCCTTCATTCTATGAAATACTTCAGCTGGTTCGCATCCTTTAGCACTGAAAAACTGTTCAACAGTTGTTGATCTTTATTTGGTCAGGTAGTATATGTTTATAATAGCAGAAAAAACATAACCATGTGATTTTTAGTGTACAGGATCAGGGATATATATCATAAAATATAAATGTGACTGCATTTACCTTTCACTGCATACTATTGCAGTTATGGTCAACAAATAGATTTCGTTTGATTATGCCTTATGTATTAGCATTATATATATCTACCCTGTTGATATGGTGATAAGGGAACTGCTACCACAGCTTTGGACCTAGGTTCAAAACCTGCAAAAAGCATGGATTCTTTTAAGTGTATGGTGCATCTGTATGGCATTGGGGGCTGGAATTACTCTCAAGGAAGGAGGTTGCAAGACCATTGGTTTCATCTCTCAAGACGTTATCTTTTAAAATTGTAATGCAGCTTTTCCTTTCATACGTGTGTAAAATCAGTAACCTTTGTATTTGTTCCTTGTGCAATGTTGGTGGTGATGGCCATAATTTATGATGAATGCTAAATCAGCAATTGTTTGACCATTTGAGAGGGGGGATATTTTTACACATACATGCACACATATATGTACTGTATACATTGTGTATTTTTGTCATATACATATACTTTATGTGTGCATGTATTTGCCTAACCAGTTTGTAAAATCAAAATATTTTAGTATCTACCCTTGTACTTGAATATACTTTTTATTGATGTATGTATATAAGAGGTTGCAAATTATGTATTGTCCATATTTTTCAGGAGCAATGTTTCTCAATCGTCCTCTGATAACTATTTTGGAACAACTTGGAATAGAATCCAATGTTTTCTTAAAATTACAAAAGGCAATGATATTTGATTTGACCAACTCTTTGATTTATGAAAAGAAAGCTTGCAGTGCATTAAGTAATTTTACATCTTTGGATTACCCATATAGAAAACTCCTTAAAGCTGGCATTTGTGTAACAGAAGAGCCATTTTTTCGCTCACTTTTGCTGTCTGTTTATAAAACTGCTATAGGTAAGTTTCTTAAATGCTTAATTATTTAAAATTCATTTTAGATAAGTAGGTATAACACCCGAGAAATGTAACTGTTTAGGGACAGGATCCCTCTAACTGTCCAAGCTCTTATTTATATGTATATATATATATAATTGAAAAAGAAATGTAAAGCTAACTAGTAATGAGACGTAAGACCTATTTGGTCTCAAAAATTTTTTTGCGCATAATGCTGCAAAAAGATACGAAATAATAGCGATCTTGCTAAAAAGTTACCAGGAGCTGTAGCTCCACGAAATAGTTCAACGCTGTATTACTAAAATATGAACTAAGAAGAATTTTTTTAAAAAATTTATCTGGAAAAACTGGATAAAAACTGTAAACACACGAAAAAAAACCGTTAATGTTGGAAGACATGCGAATGCACGAAAAAATATATCTGACCGTTGTGATATGTGAAAAGTTAATACACATAAAAAATAGATTGATGGAATATATATATATAGATATATAATATCTATCTATATATATTTATGATTTTAAATTCATTTAGTGCGAAAACAAGTTATTCTACTACTTGCGCAATTGCTGCAAAGTAAGTTAATAATAATTTATTTACTAAATAATATTGATTATATTATCTCCTAAGTTTAATTATAGTAAAAATTATCTTAAAAGAGTGAATCCATACTTAGTTCTATTTTGAAAGATGTTTTGAAGTAACTTGAATGTAAATTGTTAAAAATGTTTTAACAGGGACTGTAATTAAATCATGAATAACAAAATTTCAATTGTAAATGGAATAAATTAAAGGCAAGAATTAAATTAAATGCATGTAATCATTGTCATTGATCGGAAATTAGTTGACTTTTCAAGGGGAACAAACCAACTCCCGTTGAATGAACAATAATGAAGAAATAAATACGAAGGTGTTTTGTCCTTTACTCGAGCAATAAGGCGAAGCCAAACTGGCAATTTAAGTCAGGCCAAATATTTCCGTGAGTAGAAGGGATTATGAACCAATGCTGATATCCAAGAACTCATTCCTATTAAGCATTTTAGCTAATTCAATTTTGAGTGAAAAGCAATTTCTGCAGTAAAATTTGATAATGCTCGAGTAACTGTTCCCTGACACCCTCTTGTTTATGCATTTGAGTTCAATATTATTTGTAAGTATTAAACATAGGAAATTGTCATTATGAAATAGAATTCAAAGTAGTTGAAATAAACATTAGAAAATTACAAAATATAAGAAAAATAATGCAAACTTTGTAAAAACAAATTAAAAAATATAATAAGAAAAGTGAATGTACATGAAGATATAAAGGCCAGAAAAAGTATTAATTAACTTACGTTCTTTCTAGTTGGGAGTGAGCAAAGTGTTCTCTTCACGTCTGAATCAGAAGGGTAGTGTTTCCGAAAAATTCTTTAGCGGCAGCAGGGGCTTTGAATAATATCAGTCGGTTTTAACAGACGGTTTCACTCAAATAAGAATTCCATCGAATACATCTCTCAAGAATTCCTAGTCCCACCCACTACCATAAATTACTTCACACAATCTTTTATTTTCTCTACTTTTCACTTGGCACAAACATGGAAAACATCAAAAATGCTTCTAATCTTATCACATGGGCAGGCATTATAGAAAGGGATTTTTTTATTAATAAAGAAATTGAAAAACTTGCAATTTAAAAGATTCATCTAATATGTTTTAATGCATTATACACAGAGCTGGCACTAGGCATTTTCCCATCTGATGCAATCTCAGTGGATTCTAAATTTTGCTGCCTAGTGCCTTTCTAAATTCTGTTTCCAGTGCCTTCTCTAAATTCTAAAAGTTTTGCCATTTCTAAATTTTGCTGTTCGGTGTGTCACTAAATTCTAAAAATTCTGAGACACTAGCTCTGTAACCGGCCTTTACCGTATGTATTTCATATTTCTTCAGAATGTTCATATTACTAAAGCCGGCCTTTACCGTATGTATTTCATATTTCTTCAGAATGTTCATATTACTAAAGAAATAAAATTATCCATTTTTTTAACACATTTTAAATGCATTTAATGTTTTTTAGAATAACACAAATCCTTAATTAAATACAAAAATCCTAAAATGAAAAGGAAACATGTTGTGGAAAGAAACTGAATACATAAAGAAAATTATTCTTCAAAAATATGTGCAGTTATTATTATGTAAATTACCCAAATGTTTATGAGTTCAGCCTTTATTATTATGTCCCCTTTCTATTTCTTCATATGATAGAGTTACTCAGCCAGATTAAATTAAAATTAAATTGTATAATCTTTGACCATTAGTCCACATTTTTAGTTTGAATTTAACTGTTCTTGTTTAATTATGTCACCGTGAGCTGTAGTTGATTTTGTTAACATTAGAACATGCCTTTATGTTCTAAGTTCTTTTAAAAGAGAGGCTTATTTAAGCCTTTGTCTGATCTTGTAGTTACTTTCAGACATAGCGATAATTTGCTTCATGTCTGTCGGGCGTTTGGGACTATTTAACTTTTACCAGATCAAGTAAACCCTTATATTTGAAAATAAAATGTAAAGGCCCTTATAGGTGCTTACTTTTTCTTTAAAGCCCTTATTTTTTTGTTTTTAGTGCTTATTTTTTGCTTTTAGTGCTTTTTTTTTTTTTTTTAATGAATGCGCTATTTTTCCCCATACCAAAGCCGAAACTAAATAAACAACTTTTCTTCCTAATATGGAATGTCAGATGGTGAATCATACTCCCGGAAATAGCTTTCCACTTTCTCTGCATTAACGTAACCTTTGCCTTTGGTGTGCACGAAGGGTACAGACAGGTGCCCGTCGTTCTATTGGTCAAAGAATTGCGAAAGCAGAAAATTCTGGTACATTCGGCATTCTTTTCTTCCCACCCAAATACTACACATGTTTAAATTTCTATCAAGATCTTAATAATTTGCATTCTCGTTCCACTTGGTCAGTTCATATTTGTGTTTATTATGATCGTTATGCTTATATTATGAGTATATATATGAATGTTTATAATAACATAGTTGCAGTAACTGCTGAAGTATAGTAAACTTTCAAAAATGGTTGTGTTTTAACACAGATTAGCTTTCTAAGGAATAATATTCGGAATGGCTTAAATAAAGGGAAAGTAATTGAATAGTCAAAATAATTTCATTTTTTTGGCCAATACATTATACAGGGTGAAGATTGGGAGGTTCTCCCCTTTCTCCGCAAAATCTCGAATATTGAAACTGTTACAGTTCACTGCAAAAAAAGCAACGGACCTTTTTTCTTTTGTCACTTTCCAATCTGGATTGAATAGGACTAAAAGTTCTGCGGTCTACTAACCTAAGCGAAGAATGATTCTATTTCGAAAATTTAACGCCGTCTGTTGAAAATTAGAATGAAAAACACCCCAGTTATTTAGTTCTTTATTCTCCCAATACCGGCAGCTGTTGATTCCGATTGCGTAATATCACGCGCACGTATTGCGCAATAAGCAAATTTCTGTCTTTTGATTTCAGAAATGTTCCTCTTTTTTACTTAAATTACTTTGCTTGCAATATCTGTTAAGGGAAAACTGATATACAATGAAAATTTAGGAAATGTTTAGAATTTAGATTTAAATTATTTAAATATCAATATGAGTGGAAAAATAAATTGTATTTATATTATGTTCCAAGCGAATACAATGAATCTACCTTATTATTATTTATTTTCTCTATTTTGAACTGAAATTTCATCATTAAATCTTGTAATATAGTTTAGTTCTGCATAGTTTTTTTTTCCCTCTCATTGTAAACTAATTCTGTAAATTGAACTGTTATTTAAAATTTAAAAAAAAAAAGTAATTATTTTCCATGGTTGAGGTAATGCTTATTCTCTCTTAATAAATACTGCACTTCTCATATTTTAAATTACAAGTCTAATTTTTAAGGTTATGCAGTTGTGTATAATGTAACTAGACAGGTGCTTATTTTTTTTCTTAAAATGTGCTTGAAAAGTGCTTATAGGTACTTATTTTTTTAACTAAAATGTGGCTATGAACCCTGTAGAAAAGATTCTTAAAGAGAAGGAAATCGATATAAACTAGCCAAAAATGTTTGGAAAGGCTTCAAATTAAAATGATGGATAAATATTTCGTTACAAAACAAAAATGTTTTGTAGCTTTTAATGTGTAAATTATTCTAATATCATTTAAGAATCAATGTCATAAATTACATGTATTTAAATTGTGGAATTTGATTAGATTTTGATTTTAATAGGGCTTTTCTAACAAATATTGTTAAGAAATAAAATTTAGTAGTGGCCATGTAAATCCATAATGACTAAGGTTATCTAATAACCTAATTTAATTATTTATAACTAATTGGGTACCCTTAAAAATTATCTCTGCATATTAAAGCGAGTTATTTATTGCCTTTCATTAATCCTCGCCATGGTCACGAGATAAAACATGCGACAGAGGACGTGGGAACCATCCCTCTACCAATACGGTTAATTGGTATAGCGCCACGTCCACCTTTATCTATTGCCTAGATACATGATACATAAGAACATACGGTAGTTACAGATAGACTGTGCAGAAGATACATATATATTCAGATGCCCAAATACATCTTATGTAGGAACATGGGGTGCATGAGATGTATAAGGGCACATTCATAAGAACATATCTAAGGTGGCACACATTGGGTGACGTACACATACTTATGAATATAAGATATATAGGAGCAGAATCAGTTACATATTACAGGATGTTGCGAGATATATGATACAAGATGCTGTGGATACAGATATATGCAGATGCCAAGATATATAATACGAGGTGCAGACTGATATAAGTGGCAGAATACATTGTAGAAGGTGCAAAATAAGATGCATGATATAGGGTTATGTGAGATATATGTTACAATATGCAGAAAATACAAATATTAGCAGATGCCAGGATGCATGATGCGTAGAACATAAGGTGCGGTAGATACATAAGGTGACAAATATAAGGACATGCATAAGGTGACATACACATA